GTGAAGGCCCCGGGTTCAATTTTCAGTACCTTTAAAAAAAACAAAAGCCGGCATTAGTCAAGCTTGCTGACTCACGTCTGTATTCCAACACTTGGGAGTCTGAGGCAGGAGGATTGAAAGTTTGACTGTCTCCAGATTAAAAAAAAATTTTTTTAAATGGGCTAGGGATAAATGGACTGAGTGACAGAGCACCCCAGTTTTAACTCCCAGTACCACATATTTAAATAAATAAAGCAAGTATTGTAGCAAAGGTTTGTAGTCCTACTTTCTGGTTTCTGTGTAATTTAAGAGTACCCCCTTCCTGTGCTGGGATTGAACCCAGGACTCTTGGGCTGGGCTGCATCCCCAGCCCTTTTTGATTTTCAGACAGCCTTGCTAAGTTGCTCAGGCTTGACTCAAAATTGCAGTCCTCCTGCCTCAGCTTCCCAGAGTGCTGAGATTATAGGCACCACCACACCTGGCTAATCTTTTTTTTTAAAAGACAATTTCATTACTGTATAATTGACTACCATACTGCACATATTTGAAGTATACAGCTTGGTGAGTTTTTGTTTTCTTTTGGGTCCTGGGGATCGAACTCGATCCTTGTGCTTGCAAGGCAGGTGGCGGAACCGCTGAGCTAAACCCCCGGACCATTGGTGAGTTTTGATGCATGTACAGCCATAAAACAAGTACCACACCCAGGACTGTGAACGTACTCATCTAGCCAGAAAGTTGCCTTGAGGTTCTGGGAGTTGAGCTCAAGGCCTTTGCACTGAGCTACACTTGCAGCTTTTCTGTTTTCAGACAGGGTTTTGCCAAGATGCCTTGGCTGGGCTCAAATTTTCAATCCTCCTGCCTCAGCCTCCCATATGTTGGGGTTATCTTCATTGTTATTTTTCAGGGCTGGGGATGGAACCCAGGGCCAGGTGCGTGTTAGGCCAGCGCCCACCACTCTGTGTCTTCCCTCCCTCTGCTCCCACCCTGGGTGCATCAGCCAGGACCGCTGAGCTCTGCTCCTGAGGACTGGCCTGTGTCTCCTCCTCCCCAGGGTGCGTCCATCCCGTCAGTGCCGTGGGTGCTGGTCCTTCGTCTCCATGACCACAGTTGGTTCTGTTGCCACAGTACTGGTGGCATTGGTGTCGGCTCCAGGCTGCGCTGTGGCGAGGACACTCCTGCGAGTGTGGGCAGGAAGTGTGACTTCCTCTGGGCAAGTCCTAGGATCTCTGGGCTGGAGCTCACTTGAATGCATGTGTCCAAGGAGCTGCCGAGCTCTTTGTCGCAGCTGCTGTGCCGTCGCCCTGCCTTGCCTGTGTCTGTAGGCCAGCACCGCCCCTGGCCGTCATCTCGTAGAGCCTGAGCCTGCTCCCAGGGTGCTTGTTTCCTGCGTGTTCTGTTTCTTGTGTGTTTTCATGGCTCCCTGTCCTGGGGCTCCGATTTTTTAGGGTACAGAATCCTAGGGTTTTTTGGCATTGCTGGGGATCAAACCCAAGGCCTCGCTCGTGCTGGCAAGAGCTCTGCCATGGAGCTGCAGCCCAGCCCTAGATTCTGGATTTCGCCGCAAGGACTTGATATTTTTCTAGGATTTTTAAGGTGTTTCCCCATTCTTTCCTGGCTTGTGCTGTTTCTCATGAGAATGTGCTTATCTGAAGCATCTTTTCTGGCTGTGTTTATGTATTCATTCCTCACTGTTGATTTTAAGCAATTTCATTATGATATGCTATGGTCTCTCTCTCTCTCTCTCTCTCTCTCTCTCTATTTTATTTTTTGGTGGTTCCGGGGATTGGACTCAGGACTTTGTGCTTGTGAGGTAGGCAGCAGAACCACTGAGCTAAATCCCCGGCCCACAGCATTTTCAGGTTTAAAATCTCAGGCAGCGTCTGAGCCCAGATGTGATTTGTATCTCTAAAAGTTCAGTTTTAGTCTTTAAAAGTATATCCCTTCCTCCACTGCGTCTGTGCTGTTTTCCGTTTTCCTTCCCTGTGTCTGCCCTCTCCCTCTCCCTCCTCCCTTCTCTCCCCTCTCCTGCCGCACTATTGGGGATTGAACCCAGGGCCTTCGTACTGAGCTGTATCCCTAGACCTTTTTTGTTTTGAGACAGTTTTGCTGAGCTGCTCAAAGGGGCCTCCATCTTTGATCCTTCTGCCTCATCCCCCGAAGTAGTTAGGGTTCCAGGCATCGGCCACTACATCTGGCTGTCCTTGTCTTTTTTTTTAGACAGGGTCTCCCTGTGCAGTTCAGGTGGACCTTGAATTCGCGGGGATCCTCCTACCTCAGCCTCTCGCATGCTGGGATTACAGACATGCCCGTGCTGTCCTGCTATATCCTTGTCTTTATAATTGTTCTAATCTGTGTCCCAAGAAGCAAAATAATATGCTTTCCATATAATCTTCAGAGATCCTGTGAGTTCTGCTGTATAGGAAAATATGTTAACTTTTGATCCTGTTAGTATATAAGTGATAGAAAACATTACTTTGTTTTTTTTTTTTGAGACAGGGTCTTGCTATGTAGATCACACTTGCCTTGAACTCAGTATGTAACCCCAGGCTGGAAACGCACTGCCATCCTCCGACCTCAGCCTGCTGGGATCACAGATGCATGTCGCCAGGCACGGTTTGGTAGAAAACTCTTAAGAAGAGTTTAGGGGGCCCAGGATTTAGCTCAGTGGTTCCGGTATCTGCTTTGCAAGTGCAGGGACCTGTGTTCAATCCCTGGTACCAAAAAAAAAACAAAAAAAACAAAAAGAAGATTTTGGGGCCCCAGAGATAAAATGTGGGCAAGAATGACATAATATACTGTCATGCTGATGGCGGCTAACTTTTATTTTGGGTATCGGTCCTTGTGCTTGTGAGGCAGGCACTGGAACCACTGAGCTAAATCCCCAGCCCCAAAAGGCCATTTAGGAAAGTAGTTTCTTTTTTCTTTTAGTTTTGGGTACCGGGGATTGAACTTGGGTCTTTGCACTTGTGAGGCAGGCAGCAGAACCACTGAGCTAAATCCCCAGCCCGTGGCTAACTTTTAAATTCTTGTACCAGGCGAAGTAGATTTGTATCTTCACTTATTTAGAAAATGCGCTAAGAATAGCACACTTGGCTTCTCTCCAGGATTATTACGTCAGATGACGTGTTTCTCTTGAGTGTGAGTGTGCGTCTGGGTGTGGGGTGGGGCTGCTGTTCACACCAGGCCCGGAGCAGGGTTCTTGCAGATACCTGGGCAGCGTCCGAACTGCTTCCCGGCACTGGCACTGAGCACACCGGGCGAGCTCAAGGGCTCTGATGGCGTTGCCACACTCCCAGACAGGAAGCCAGAGAGACTCGGGGCGGGGTGGGTGTCCCCAAGACTCAAGGACTTCTGCAGGTCACCCAGACCACAGCAAATTCCAGATGTAAGCGTCCCCACTTTCTTTCCTCTTGGGCCCCTTGAGCTAGTGCTGTTTCATGCTCAGAAGGGCGTCTTCCTGCAAAAAGACTGGAAGGAAACACGGAAGACCGCAGTATTTTGTGTTTTGTTTTGGTGCTGGGGATTGAATTCAACGAACGAGGCGGGCATGGTGCCACTGAGCTAAATCCCTGGCCCCGCGGTGTTTCACTTTCTGACGCAAAGCCTCTGTGGGTACCTCTTAGACGTGTGTGGCGATCCCCTCGTCACAGGGGTTCATGCCCGTGCGTGACGTACCTAGTGCTGCTTCCTCCCATCCTCTCCTCCCTGCCTCTGTTCCTCCCTCCTGACCTACAGAAGCTCTGTTTCCATTTTTTCCTGTTTTTTTCTTGTCCCTTCCCCCACTCTTGTTCTCCTCAATTGAACATTTTCTTCCCATTTCCCAATATCTGTTATGTATTTTGGTCCTTATTTCCATTTTCAGTTTCTTACACAGAGAAACAATGCCCAGCCTGGGCAGTTCAGCAGTGAGGACACTGGACTCGAAAAAGAGCTGGGTCTATAGCTCAGTGCCGAGGCCCTGGGTTCAGTCCTAGCACTGCCATAAAGTATGCGGGGTATCATTCACCTCTGCTTTTGTGAGCTTTGTAACTCGTGGGATGTTTGTGTATTGGATTCATTATCGTAAATATTGATGCTTACATCTAAGTAGATGCCTGCACTTTGTTTTTCATCACTGAGGCTTGAACCAGGGCATTCACACTGAGCTCCCTCCCAGGCTTTTTTATTGTTTTATTTTGAGACAGGGTCTTATTAAGCACTCGGTTCCCTAGGCTGGGCTCAGACTTGGAATACTCCTGCCTCAGCCTCTCAGAGAGGTATATACTATTATACCTGCTTTTTTCAGTATTTAAAAAATAATAAAGCTCTATTAAATTATTATGGAAAGCCGGGCATGTTGGCATATGCCTGTAATCCCAGCTCTTGGGAGGCTGAGGCAGGAGGATCACTGTGAGTTCGAGACCAGCCTGGGTTACATAGTTCCAGGTCAGTCTCAACTACAAAGTGAGACCCTGTCTCAAAAAACCAAAAAAAAAAGAAAGAAAAAAAAATGGACACATAACTCTCATGGATTTTTTTTCCAGAACTGGAGATTGAATCCAGGGCCTTCACACTGAACTACATTCCCATCCCTTTCTGTTTTTTTTTTAATTCTGAGGTTACGAGCATTCACTGAGTGGCCCAGGCTGGACTTGAACTTGCAGTCCTCCTGCCTCAGCCTCCCAGAGTGCTGCCCGCCCAGCTGGCGCTGTTTGTTGAATGGGACTAGAACAGCGTTGGTGACCCGGATGCAGCGTGGAGTGGGCTTCACTCCAGGTTGCTTATTTGGAACCGCAGTAGGACGCAGGTGTTTTCCTTCTCCCACTGACCGCGGTCGGCCTGTAAATCACCTCTGCAGAGCCATGTCCGCCAGGCCAGCTGTGGGCTGAGCTCGGCAGCCGGCTGTGGCGTCACTCCAGACACAGTGAGTTCGAAGCCCAAGTGTCACTGCCACACAGCTTCCCCTCATGCCACTGGGGAGGGGACAGTGGCATCATTTCCACTCCTGACTCACTTTCTGCGACGCAGAAAGCTTGGCTCCTCCTGGGGGCGCTCTGTTCTCTGCGGGAGGAGGCTCATGACCGTTGTGTTCTCTTTCCTTCCAGAGGGAGACTGGCCAGGCTGCAGGGGAAGCTGTGCGTCTCTGAGGAGCTGGGTGACGGGTGCTCTGGGTAACAGGTACGTGCACTGCAGCCTGGCCCGCGGCCCCACGGGACGGGGGCTTACTGTGTACCCTAGACTGGTCTCGAACTTGGGTGGCTCCCTGCCTCAGCCTGCTTTTTGCAGACATCTTACAGAGTTGGCCCTAACTTGGATTCTAGATAAGAACCTCAGAAAAAAACTTTAAAAGGCTCTTTTCCTGGTGTGATGGTGCAGCTCTGTAGTCCCAACTAGTGGAGAGGCTGAGGCAGTGGGATCCCAAGTTTGAGGCTGGCTGGCAAATTAGACCCTGTGTCAAAGGGCCAGGGGTGGCCCTCAGCCCCCGTGCTCGCCTGGTGTGTGGGAGCTTGAGTTGAGTCCCCAGACCTGCAGAGAAGAAATCCAAATGCTGTTTGTTTTGTTTTGTTTTGGTACGGAGATTGAACTCGGGACCTCTTGCTTGCCAGACAGGCACTGTGCCGCTGAGCTACATCCCCAGGCCCTCCAAATGCTGTTTTAAATGGATCCGCTATCCATTAGCTGACTGTCTCCAGTTCAGTTAGTGAATCCCTCATCCTCCACCCCAGACTGAGTGCAGGCGAGGTGAGGGAAATTACGTTTGCTCCAGGCGCATTCACTGTGGGCTTCAGCGCAGCTCTGGGTCTCCTCGCACCTGCTCTGTTCGGTTCTGGGTTGCCACAGAGGCGCCATCTCTAGTACCTGTGACCCAGCGCTCCAGAGCTCACGCTTCCTGGGAAGCTACCTCCACAGAGCCACCCAGGCCTCCGTGTCCCTGTGGAGGCCCCCAGCTGGGACCAGACCCCAGGACTGTGCCTTGCTTTCTTCTCCTGGGGCGCTGAAGGCGAGGTGAGGTGAGGTGAGGTTCCTCCTGAGCCTTGAGGCTCTGCCTGTAGGCCGGGGCTCCTAAACCGGCCTGGCCTGAGATTGGTCTGTTCACGTTTTCGTGCTGCTTGGGCTGGGGTGTAGCTCACTGCTGGGTGCCAGCCCAGCATGTCAGAGGCCCTGTGCTCTCTCCCCAGCACCACACAGCTGATGAATTCTTCCCCCTGGTGCTGTCCTACCTCCCCCAGGGCACGGCGGTTTGGCCACCATGAGCTGGAGCTTCCTGACCCGCCTGCTGGAGGAGATCCACAACCACTCCACGTTTGTGGGGAAGATCTGGCTCACAGTGCTGATTGTCTTCCGCATCGTCCTGACCGCGGTGGGCGGGGAGTCCATCTACTACGACGAGCAGAGCAAGTTTGTGTGCAACACGGAGCAGCCGGGCTGCGAGAACGTGTGCTACGACGCCTTCGCGCCGCTGTCGCACGTGCGCTTCTGGGTGTTCCAGATCATCCTGGTGGCCACGCCCTCCGTGATGTACCTGGGCTACGCCATCCATAAGATCGCCAAGATGGAGCACGGCGAGGCCGACAAGAAGGCGGCCCGGAGCAAGCCCTACGCCATGCGCTGGAAACAGCACCGGGCTCTGGAGGAGACGGAAGAGGACCACGAGGAGGACCCCATGATGTACCCAGAGATGGAGCTGGAGAGTGAGAAGGAGAACAAGGAGCAGAGCCAGCCGAAGCCCAAGCACGATGGCCGGCGGCGGATCCGGGAGGACGGGCTCATGAAGATCTACGTGCTGCAGCTGCTGGCCAGGACGGTGTTCGAGGTGGGCTTCCTGATAGGGCAGTACTTCCTGTACGGCTTCCAAGTGCACCCGTTCTACGTGTGTAGCCGGCTGCCGTGCCCCCATAAGATCGACTGCTTCATTTCCAGACCCACTGAGAAGACCATCTTTCTCCTGATCATGTACGGCGTCACGGGCCTCTGCCTGCTGCTCAACATCTGGGAGATGCTTCACCTGGGCTTTGGGACCATCCGGGACTCCCTGAACAGCAAGCGGAGGGAACTTGACGATCCGGGTGCTTACCATTACCCGTTCACTTGGAACACGCCGTCTGCACCCCCTGGCTACAACGTCGCTGTCAAGCCGGATCACGTCCAGTACACCGAGCTGTCCAACGCGAAGATCGCCCACCGGCAGAACAAGGCCAACACGGCCCAGGAGCAGCAGTATGGCAGCCACGAGGAGCCGCTCCCAGCCGAGCTGGAGGCGCTGCAGCGGGAGGTTCGGCTGGCGCAGGAGCGCCTGGACCTCGCCCTCCAGGCCTTCCACCACCAGAGCCACCCGCCGGCGTCCCGGGAGAAGAAGGCCCGGGCTGGCTCCAACAAGAGCAGCACCAGCAGCAAGACCGGGGACGGGAAGACCTCCGTCTGGATCTGACCTCGGGCTGCTCTGGCCTGTGCAGCCTGGCTGCTGGGCTGTGGCTTCATGCCTGCGGAGGCTCTGGCCGCGTGGGAGAGGGACGCGAGTTCCCGGGCTGTGGGCAGCAGGGCCATGTCATGGCTTCAGGTCCTGAGGAGAGAGATATTTAAATCATTTTGTGGAGCAGTTTTGTATGTACAGTATTATGGCACTTTTTTTCTAATATAAAAAAACTTTTTTGTATGTGTACATTGAACTACTGTAGTTGTACTTTTTTATATTAAAAAAAAAAAATCCTTACAAGAAATGCCTGTCGGGCCAGTGTTACTACTTTTTTTAGCAAGCTCGACTCTGGCTTTAGAGTGTAACTGATGCTCATTTCCTCAAAGTGCCTCCTGCCATGGGAGAGGAGGTTTCAGACCCAAGGAGACTGGAAGGGAGTCCACCAGGAGGAGCTGGTCTTCTCTCCCGCCTGAGGAGTCTGGCCCCGTGTTCCTGCGACAGATGTGATTCCACAGGCGATGTAGGCTCCCTGGGGACCCCTGTAGGTCCCGAGCACTGCTGGGTGCCATGCCGGGAGCCCGGGCCCGTCCTAGCCAGCGAAGGACACATTACCATTCCTTTCCCTTAACGTGCTGCCTCGCTTCAGACCCTCACCCTTTGTGCGCCCTTCCTGAGTGTCCAGGCTGCCTCCCTGTCCCCAGCTGGTTTAAACACTTCCTCCTGTCATTTTCACCTTGGAAGACCCTGAAGTCGTCAGATCCGTGAGTCAGGACGAGGACTGTGATGTCTTCACAAGCTGCCTTCCTGCTGGATGCGTGTGGCGGCGGCGGCAGTCACTGAATTTTTTAGCACACCCTGTAAAGACTCAGGAAAAAGCTTCAGAAATGGGCCAGAACCACAGGATGAGTGCATCGAAGTGACAGGAAGGACTTTGAAGGGGCTCATGGCAGTGTGTCTTACTGTAACACTATTTTTCTAGTACTGGGGATTGAACGCAGGCACGGTGCCACTGAGCTTAACCCCCAGCCCATGTAACACATTTTTTTTAAAGTTTAAATATTCATTGTGTGTTTTAAACATCTTGTGTATCTCTTGGTTAATCAACAGACAAGCACAGCTTCCTCCAGACTGGGTGGGTAATGAGGAAATGTGTATAATTCAGGAAAACAGCAGAACACTAACCATCTAAGCGAGGTAAGAGGAGCTTCCAGGCTCTGCTATAATCCCCCAGCAGGCTTTGTTATTGAAGCACAGGAAATTTGCTTGCATTCGCTGCCATTTACCGAGAGCCTGAGGGAGAGCAGTGCCCTCCTGCCAGGAGGTTGGGCTGTGAGAGCGGAGGGGCTGAGTAGAGATGCCAGGAAGCTCATGGCTCAGCACCCCTGAAACTCCCTGATGCGGGCCTGGCTATCCCTGCTTGAGAGTGCGGAGCCTGGCGGATCCAGCAGCCTGAGGTAAAAGGGCCTCTGTCCCTCTCACGTGCGCACACTTGCCGGCCTCGCTGTCTGGGTAAAGCTTTGATCTGATGAGATTTCATCGCTGCTGCCGTAGCACATTTCTTCCGCTTTTGAACATAGGAGTCATTCGGAAGCCATTCTCCCTGCAGGACTGTTATGAATCTATGTTAAGAAAACAATCTGAAGGGCTAGGGATGCAGCTCAGTGGCACTGCGCCTGCCTGGCAAATGCAAGGTCCTGAGTTGCATCCCCAGTACCGAGGAAGAAAAAAGCAAACCACAAAAAAAAAAACCCACCCTAGTTGGGCATGGTGTCACACTCCTGTGATCTCAGCCACCTGGGAGGCTGAGGCAGGAGGATCGTAAGTTCCAGGGTAGCCTGGGCAACTTAGCAAGACCCTGTCTCAAAAGGAATGGGGTTATAGGGTTCAATCTCCAGTACTGTAGCCAGAAACTAAAAGCCTGTCAGGGTCTAGTTAACCCATCAGCTAGTTCCACACTGAACCTCTGAAAACGCTCTTCTGAAATATGTGGGCATTTGTGCCCAAAGCTGGCTGGCCTGTCACCAGGTCTGTGCTTCCTGTCAGTGTGCCGTACGGTGCCATACCGCATGCAGGGTCCTCAGGGCCCCAGGCCTGGCACACTGGGTGGAGCTGCGAGGCGGCCTGTGGGTCCCCTCAGACGCATGCACACCCACACTGCCGGCAGCCCATGTTTAGGTCCAAGCATCCATTCTTAGCTCAAGTTTGAGGGAGAATTAGGTAGTATTTTCCCTTGAACTTCATGTTCATCTTGTAGCTCTGTCTTAGCTGATGACTTAGTTTTGCTGCTGTTTGTTCATTTAAAGTCATACGTGTGTCATTTCAGTTGGAGTTGGGTCTTTTTAGTGCTTTTCCTTGATTGATATCTGTAAAACTGTTTCCTCTTGATAAAAATGAACTTTGCTGTCTCAGTGGTTCCCCGAGTTTCAGACTCTGGCCTCAGAAGAATCCAGGGTTAGGGAGCTCAGTATCATTTGTGCCGTCTACAATGAGACCCAGCCCCTGCAGAATACATCTTGGGTGATGCTGAGCTGCTGGCCAGCCAGCTTTTGGCAAAAGGCAAATATATTTTAATAAGCCCACTGTAGTCTCTGCCATTTTACTATAAATCCAGGTCTTTCCCAGCTGTGAAAACAGTTCCTGAAGTAGAGAGACGGCCCCTGGTGATGGTGATTGAAAGGTCCCAAGTGTTAATCTTTGTAAACTGTAATCTTGGAGAATCCACCCTCCTCAAAGAGCCCAGGCCCAACCCCTGTCTGTCCTAGGTCTCTAACTCCATCCCCATTGAGCCGTGGGGATCATTCGGTGCAGTTAGCGGAATGGGGGTTTGCCTCGCCGGTGGCCATTGTCCTTGTGCGGCAGTGTTGTCAGCGTTTGTGCTAGTGATTCTCAGTGGCTTGGTTCACAAATTCCCGTGTTGAAGGAACAACGCAGAGCCAGGCATGGCAGCACACACGCCTGTCTTCCCAGCACTCGGGAGGCTGGGGCAGGAGGAACATCGTGAGTTCGAGACCAGCCTGGGTTACATAGCAAGACCCAGTCTCCAGCGTAAAAGCAGCAGCAGCATCAGCATCAGCAGCAATCCATGGATTCTAAAATCCCGGCATCCAAGTGAGAGGACGTTCTAGGCGATGGCAAGTCCACGGAGGTGAGAGCCTGCCCCGGGTGCGTCGGGATGGCAGGCGGGAGGGCAACCTGCCCGGTGCCCACGGTCCGGCGTGGCTGGCTCTGTTCCGTGTGTGAGGCTCAGGGGCCCCTGGCAGGGCGGTGTCCCAGATCCCCCCCGAGAGCCCCGTCCGTGGTCTGGGGCCCTTCCTCGGAACCCGAGACCGCCAGGCACTGGGCTGCCCGGG